ACATCATTCTGAGAACACGTGAGTAGCCTGCAAACGATTTGGTCCAGAAAAGCCAAATTAAAAATGTTCCTTTCTAAAATACGTATTTTGTTTGTCGTTCATTTATCATCAAGGACTTTTCTACGCAATATCAATAAAATCAATAAATTGCGCTTTATGTATAAAAGGTTATTGTATCGTTATAAGCATGTCGAAAAACTTCTTTCTATTATTTTACTGCACTTTATACCAAATAATGCAGAAGATATACCAAATAATGCAGAAGATGACAATCGACAGAACTACTCAAAACTTTCTAGACTTACCGTATTTACAATCAGCATGGCTTAGTGTATCTGCACACTGATTTGCAGCGGCTCAAAGCAAAAAGCGCAAATTATTGGATTGTAAAACTGATCCTGGATCTTAAGTTCCAAGTTTTGGTGAGAAGTTTATGGTATAAAGTTTGGTCCAGATCATACCATGCTCAAAAGCACTTACGTGATCTGTGTTTTTTCGCGAACTGTGCAGCTACCGTAATTCCGTAGAATGGTTCAGGGCCACAATGTTTATTTCTGCCTGGATTTCTCTAACTAGAGGCCAAAATTTTGTAAATAAGATCTGCAAAATTATCAACTAAGATACGACCAAAGAGTGGGCCGTGTTACACCTGGCAGGAGAATCTATATGACCTACCGGTGAATTGTATTACGTCAATGTATATGATTTAAACGCGAAAAATCAGCATCAAAAATTGTAAGAGTAAAGAAATCACGCTTTCACACCTTGAAGGCTTAAATCACGAATATACGCAGTACTAGAAAATGCTATTATAAAAGTTAAAAAGCCTTTTTTTACAGAAGTGATTTGGCGTCTAAGAAGAAGGAAAAAAATGAGTTTACACTGCTAGCAGGGAATTAATTGATGAAAAGCAGCTTGCCATCTGACATCGATTTGACACATGCTTTTGAAAATTGCAGGAGGTTCCCATGTGACCTGACCAGAATAGTGCAACGTCGCCTTAGTTGAGATAGTGATGTTATAATAGCTGTCAGCACTGCAATTTATTGCTCATAGCTAAAAAGAAGAGAAAGGAAGGAATATGAGATTTATTTGACTTACTTATTATAAAGTATAATATCCGGCACCCATAACATTTCATTAGGTACGTAAAGCACACTAACACCACCGTAATTTTTCGGATCCCATGATAATCTCTTGTCGATCCACACCTGCTTCAACCATACCGAACATGACATGATCTGATCAATTTCGTGCTAAAAAATTTCATATTCAAATCAAGTCATTCTCTATTGATTTAAATTCAATCTTACCACATCTATGATTTGACTTAATCGCAATTGTAATCTAATCGTCACTGGTTTATGTGGACCGAGTGCTGGTCTGAAACTCGCATAAGAAGAAATCATTTTGATGGTCTTGGACATAAGTATTTCATCTTGGAAAATTCAATTACATTTCTTTCAACAAAAATTTCTACTCTTTGATTTATTGATAGCATTTCCCTTTTAAGAAATTGCATTAAATTCAGTGTGATGCGAAACGACTACCGCCTCCATAAAAGGCCAATTGCTGGCTTGAATTCTGCGAACTTGATGGATAACCTCATCTTTTCTCAATTTTTTATGTACACTGCGTTTCCAGCTTTCCGTTACGGAGATTGAGTGATGTTGAAGTGATATTATTTTTCTCAAGTTTAATGAATAGCACTCCATGTTCCCTCCCATTATGCTAAGTTGTTCCTGGAAGAAATAAGAAGCTGTGCAAGAGGTGTCCAACGTGGAAGAGGCTTTCTTATGCGATTCGTTATGTATGCAAAATTTTTTGAGATGTCTAAGACAATAGCTTAGTGTTTAGTTCTAACAAAACAAAAGTCATGAATATGCAAATGTGATTCGCCAGAACAACCTTTACACACAGAGCCGTATTCGTTATGAAATGTCAATTAAAGAATAAGTAGATTTAAGTGGTAAAATTAGGAAAATTTTGAGGCGAGAAAGGAAGCTGAAAAGACTAAGCAGCGCAGAAAATTACTTTGCTCACAAATGGAAAGAAGACCCCTTAAAGGAACCCCTCAAAACATATGGATATGTGGCTGAGGATTGTCCAGCAGCGACTTTCAAAG